CGGGGGGCACTGCGAGGCCCACTGCGAGGCCCCTTGTGTGGCCTCTGGGGAGTCCACTGTCCGGTCCCCTGTGAGGCTCCGTGTGGGGTCCACAGCAGGTGAGGGTCCAGGTGCTGCCGGGAATGAAGGTGGGGGCTGTGCAGAATTCCTTGCACCCTTCGGTGAGGCCTGGGCGCCTGGGTTCCGCACTTAGCGGCCTCCCCGAGGAGGGAGACCAAGGGGAGGCCGGGGATCGAGGTCCCCACGGTAGGTCGGCAATGGGTCGGGGGAGGCCGGGCCTCCATCCCATTCTCCACTCCCCCCCCCCGCCGCACCCCCATGTCAAGGAATCCTGGGGATCACGACTTAGGTCCGAGGCCTGAGGAGCAGGGGGCCCCGAGTCTTTGGGGCCAAGGGGGAACTGCAGGTGGACAAAGACGTCCAAGAAAATAGAGACTACACTCATCCAAGCTTGCCGCCTCTGTTCGCTTCCGGCTGCACAAGGCCACATCCGGTGGGGGAGGGGCAGAGGGCATGCGGCCAGCCCCCCATCCCACCTCCCCCCCTCTACTCCCCACTACTCACTTCCGCCGGAAGGAAGGTGCCCATCGTGGGTGGCACGGCCTTCAGCCTTTTCCACCACGTCCGAGGTCTGTGGAGGAGGGAGAGGCCTCGCTGAGACCCCGTGTGGTAAGCACGGCTGGGCGGAGGGGGGGGGGAGAACCCCATTGGAACGCCACAACGCTTGGTGACCCCCAAATAATTTAGCCTTCCCTCTGCACATTTTTGTGACATTGGGATGTGGACGCCCATCCCATAATTTTCCCAGCCCTTCCCTCAAGCCTTCTACGTCGGAACTGCGGGCCTCAGTGCCTGTGGCTTGGGCCTATGGGAGGTGGGGAAGGGGCCAGCTGGAATTGGTGAGAAGTTGGGGTGGTAGCTGAGTAGGTGGGAGGAGGCCTCCCAGCACCTGGAGTGGTCTGCTACACTGCCGTCCTGCCTCCCGCTCTCCCCCCTCCTGCCCCACCCCCACTCAGCCCTCGCCCAACATGGGCCTCACAGCTTTCGTGTCAGCTGTGGCAGGAGGGCCACCCTTGTGGGAGGGAGGAGGGAGGGCGGCGTTCCAAGTGAGAGGTGGGAAAGGATGAACTCCCAAGGTGCAGGGGTAGCTTTCAAATGCCAGTGCTCCTTTTTCACCTCAGTACCACCTGCAAGGCTGGTGTCTCCGGAGCACCACCAACATTCCCCCCTTTTCCTTGCCCCGCCCAAACGCCAGTGTCAGGGAATGCTGGGAGTGGCTGCCTTAGTCCAGGTCTGGGCGGGAAGAGGCTGTGGGGAGCGGTGGCTGGCTGTGATGGGTCGGGGTGGGAGCTGAGGAATCATGAAGGACTCTCTAGGTCCCTGAGGCCTCCCCCTGTAAAATTCCAGCTCCCTAGCCTTTATCAGCACCACTAGGGGGCGTCGAGTCACAAGAGCACGCCCGTGACTGCCTCACTCTGGAACTCTGACAGGAAGAGGCCTTCTGGGAGGGAGAGGCTTCGGGAGCACTGGAAGTGAGAAATGCGAAAGGATAAAGCACCCCCTAAGAGAAAGGGTGCCCCTAAAATTCCAGTTCCACTTGGTTCATCTCGGCAACACTAGGGGGCGTTGGGTTACAGGACAAACTTCCCCAACCCCTCCCCCACGCCGGCGCCCCCTGCAGGCGGGCAGTGTCAGTGCTTTGGTCGAGCTTTGTGATGGGAAGAGGCGGCTGGGAATGGGTGAAGGGTTGGGTGGGAATTGGGGAAAGCAGAATGAGGAAGCCCCCGACCATGTCCATGTAGAGAGACCCCCAACACTCCACTCCTGCTTTCTGTTTTACCCGACATCACCAGGGCGTACCTAGTCAGAGACTGCTATCACCTGTCTTCTGGACCTGTGGATACAAGACTACGCGGAAAAGACGTACTGTGACAGCCTATGGTGAGGACAGGAGACATCCCCAAGGTACTAGTCACCCTGAAAATCCAACCCTGCTGCTTTTTTTTTTTGTTTTTCTGTTCGCTTTTAGTGCTGGTCTTGGGGCTTGAATGCAGGACCTTGTGTCTATCCCTGAGCTTCTTTTGCCTAAGGCTAGTCCTCTACCTCTAGAGCCACAGAGACACTTGTGGCTTTTGGGGGGCAGTGATTTGGTGGAGATAATAGTCTCATGGATTTCTGTGCCTGGACTGGTTTGAAACCACAAGCCTGAATTCATTCTCCACACCAGCTAGAATTACACCACTACCCACCCTGCTTCTGTCTTTTTAATCCTACCACCACTAGGGAACATGACCTCAGGGATGCCCTTCTCTCACCTTGCCTTGCCCCTCCCCGACCCTTCTGCCTTGTGGATCCCTAGGCCTCACAAACTTGGTCCATGATTATGGAAGGACATGGCTGCAGGGTAGACTGTCAGGGGTCAGAATATAGCTGAGGAAGGACAGACAAAGCACAATCAAGGTATAGAGTCCCTTCCAAATCTAGTTCTGCCTCCTGTTTTACCCTGGCAGCATTAGGAGGGGCAACTTGGCACACAAGGGCTATCACCCCTCCCCCACCACTCCTTTGGGCTGGGAGAACCTTGTTTGGAGGTCTGAATAGGAGAAGTTCAAAGTCTGTGATGGTTCAGGTGAGACTTCAGGAGGATAGAAAGTACCACCAAGATAGAAGGTCCTCCAAAGTTCTAGCTCTGCCTCCTTTTGTACCCTGGTACCAGTAGGGAGTGTCCAGCTACTGTTCATTCCCCACCTCTCTCCTACTCCCTTCTACCATAGGATCCCTAGGAGTAAGACCCTTGCTTGGAGGTCTGGAAGGGAGGGGTTCTGGATCTGGTTCTGTGAAGGCTCAGAGTAAGAGTTGGAGAGGACAGAGTAAGCCCTCCAAAGTATAGGATTCTCCCTCCATGCAAATCCCATTTCCTTCACACTTTTTCACCCTGGTAACATTGAGGGTATGCAGGCAGAGAGGTGTTACCAATCTTACGCAACTTTTTCTGTACTTCCTCCACTTCTGCTTCAGGAAACCATGTGAGTCATAGCATTACTGGTAGATTCGTTGAGGGAAGAGACTTGATACTTTCTGAGTTGTTAGTGTGATAGCTGAAGGAGGACAAAGGAAGCCCCTGCAGATCCAGTCATGCCCCTTATCTAAAATCTGCACAGGAGCTTCTAGTCAGTTGAGGACCCCCGTCCCTTTCTTTAAGCCTCAAAGGATAATGGGAATCAGAGACTTGATCTGAGGGGTGCAAATGAGGTTAGCAGAGGACAGGATCTAGGCTCTGCAATTGTTATCCTTGGTAGTTGGAGGGGGGACAGTCACTGGCCAGAAGTACAGGTTCCTCATCTCAGTCTTCCAGGTCAGAAACGAAGTGAAATTATTGGTTGCAGAGGACATTAAACTACAGAACAAGGGAAGCCCCATGCAGAATGGTCAGGTTGGTGATGCCTGATTTCAGTATCTGCGTCTGACAAAAATGGGAATTGTTTAAAAGCAGTAGTACCTCTGGCAAGCACTCTGAGAGTCTACACCAAGCTGAAGTTAAAGTAATGGCCTAGGAAGGGCTAATATTACTTTTAAGGCTTCCAGCTCCAGGATGGCTGTGATTCCTGGGAGGTTCCTATGCAATGTGATCATGCAGATAATTCCTGACCTCTGCCACCAAGTCTCAGATAAGATGGGGTTTTCTAAAGAGGGCATCATCATAACACAGGGATGGCCCCCAAGTCCTGTTAGAAGTCACAATGACACAGGAGGTAGAAGTGGTTGAGGGTGGAGGTCAGTGATCTAATGGTCTTGCCCTGCAAAAGGTGTGTGCAGATCAGCAGAGAGAAAGGGCCGAGACACAGTGAGAAAGAAGCATGAGTATTTTGAGGACATTCCAGGCAAGAAGACTCCCTGAAACCAGCTACTTCTGTCAGCCTGGGTGGCTGCTTCAAGAGTGTTCACATATGCTGCCTGTGCTTTCTTTCAGTTCTCAGGACTGTGAGGCCTTGAAGTGAGAGGAGGCACTAGGAGAGCAGAAGGGACTGTGCCTGGTCAGCAGAGGGAGGTGTCCAGGATCTTCCAGGAGTTAAGGTGAGGAGAGGAGGGATCATCCTCACAAAAACACATGGGACCCCAGCCCCAACCTCCCAGCTATGGGAAAACCTGGGGACTGCGTGGATTGGCCTTCCCTCGGCTCCTCTTCTGGTATCTCACAAAAAAAAAGGACGTTGGCTTAAAGCTGGCAACCTAACAACATCAGGAAAGTTCCAGCCCTGGCCTCTTATCAAGATGAGAAATGACCAGGTCTCTCATCCACATGCTCCACACTGAATTTGATTCCTCGTGTTGTTATCCCTGGGAAGTGTACCTAGATGTGAGGTCCTCTTACTGCCTTTTCTCTCAGGATGGTGGACCTTTGTTGTGAGACTTGGCCTCAGTGCACCAGAGGGAAAGATATGTTCATGTTCTGCCAGGGGAGATTTGGTGGTCCAGAGTGAATTTATATTCTCCCCAGGAAGAGTTGGAAACATTCAGGGTGTGGCCCACCCCTCCGGTACCACTAAGAGCCCAGTGTGATTTCTGCAGGTTATAGTCCAAGGGAGAAAGGGCTAGAGAGCTGCTAGATGCCCCTTTCATGAAATCCAGGGACTAGGAATTCAGATTTTGGTTTCAGACAATGTCCTCATCTCACAGAGAAGATAATGCCCAGGAGGACCCCAGGAGTAAAGATAGGATGGACATCCTGAATGTGTCCACAACCCACTGAGGAACACAGAGGTGCCATGTTGTCAGCATCACGGGTCCTACTGACAGCTCCAGAGTATCCACCCCTGAGTCAATGTTCATCCCCTCCCTCAGACTCCTACAGCACCCATCCATCAGGAAGACAGGAATCTTGTCTGCCAGGCCCTAGTCATCACCTTCATGAGAGTCATGAAGTTTTCCATGGAGGCCACTCACACTTTTCCCTCTCTCTCCCAGGCCTGTGACTCCTCATTACCAAGACAAGAACCATCATGCCCCGGGCTCCTAAGCGTCGACGTATCATGACTGAGGAAAACCCTCAGCCCTCAAATGAGGACCAAAATCCAACAGATGTGCAGGTTGCTGAAGCTGTGGAGGGAGATGTTTCCTCTTCTTCATCCACCTGTTCCTCATCTTTCCCTTCCTCCTCCTCCTCCTCTTCTTGCACTTGCTCCTCTTGTTCCCGCTCTTCCTCTCCCTCCTCTCCTTCCTCCTCCTCTTCCTCCTCCTCTTCTTCCTCCTCCTCCTCCTCTTCTTCCTCCTCCTCTTCTTCTTCCCACTCTACTTCCTCCACTGCTTCCTCCACTGGCAATGATGGGTCCTCAAGCAATTCCCATGGTTCTCTGGGACCCAAGCCTAGAAAACGAAGAAAGCGCTCTTCAAGCACCGAAAACGATTCATCAGACTCACAGTCCTTGCTCTCAAGTGAAATGGATGAAAAGGTGAATGATTTGGTGTATTTCTTGCTCCTCAAATACCAAATGAAGGAGCCTGTTACCAGGGCAGCAATTGTGGATCATGTCATGAAAAATTATGAGGGAAGCTTTACTTTGATCTTGAATGAAGCCATTGAGTGCTTGCAGCTGGTCTTTGGTCTTGATTTGAATGAAGTGGACCCTACTACCCATACCTATGTTCTTGTTACTACTCTGGGTATTACATATGATGGGATGCAAACTGAAGTTCACGGTGTGCCCAAAACAGGTCTCTTGATATTTATTTTGAGCCTAATTTTCATAGATGACAAGTGTGTTTCTGAAGAGGAGGTCTGGAAAGTGCTGGGTATGATAGGAGTGCATCCTGATAGCTACCACCACCTCTATGGAAATCCTAGGAAGCTTATCCTGGAAGAATTCGTGCAGGAGCAGTACCTAGAGTACAGGCAGGTGCCTGGCAGTGATCCTGCTCGCTATGAGTTCCTGTGGGGACCTAGGGTCCTGGAAGAAAGCACCCTGATGAAATTTCTAGAGTTTTTGTCCGGCCTCATTGGCAGTGAACCCAGCTCTTTCTCTGTATGGTATGAGGAGGCATTGAGAGATGAGAGAGAGCGAGCCCAGGCTAGACCTCCGGAAACAGATGATGCTGCAACAGATGCTGCTGCTGCAACAGATGATTCTGCAACAGATGCTGCTGCTGCAACAGATGATTCTGCAACAGATGCTGCTGCAACAGATGCTGCTGCAACAGATGCTGCTGCAACAGATGCTGCTGCAACAGATGCTGCTGTTGCCCCAAGCAGTTGCAGTTCATAGAGCACTAGTGGCTTCTAGCTTACAATAGATCAGGCTGGGGCTAGAGATATAAGACACCCAACCTCACTCCTTGATTTGGAGGACCGAGGCATTTATCTTCTTAGTTTTCTTAAATGTTGTAACTTTTACTACATTGTTTATTAGCTTCAGATTTCAGGTGTGAAATTACATTATATACATACTCATTGCTTTTACCCATTTTTAAAGGTTTTGTAATTTTTATACATGTTCATTGCTTTTACCCAGTTTAAAAGTTTTTGTTAGTTGGTGAAACAAATCGGGATACCTTCCATCTTAATTGTAAGCTGTGACAAGATGCTATGGTGTTGCAATTTTCCTTGGAAATGTGAAAGAACTTAACATTAAATAAACCAACCATTAAAATACTGGTATTTCTTTTCTTTGTTATTTTAGTCTATGCTTATAGAAATTTTAAAAGTATACATTGGGATCTAAGTTCAGTGTAGTAGAGAACCAGTGGCTCATGCCTGCAATTCTAGCTAATCCAGAGGCTGAGGTATGGGGATCCCAGTTCAAAGCCAGCCCAGGTAGACAAATCTAAAATACACTTTATCTCCAATTAACTGGTAAAATCCATTAGTGGAGCTCTAGCTCAATGATCACAATGACTTCAGTTAAAGTCCTAGTGCACACACATACACACACACACCCCACAAAAATAAGTTGAAGTGCCATAAGTGAAGAATCTTCCCAGTTGCCATTTCCTCCTGAAAATGTCAGGGAGCATCTGCTCTTGCAAGGCAGTGGTCATTCCAGGGAGCTATGACAAAGTCCTCTGAAACACAAACACCAAGTAAATGAGAGGTGAGGAAGTGGGAAAGACCAGGGGAGAATGACCTGATGTCAACACCATTGCACAGAAGTTTGGGGTTGGAGAAACTGAAATGCCTCTGTAGGAGTTGGATTTATGAAGCTGGAGGTGGATAAGTTAGGGCCTTATACCATAATATGGGACATAAGCCTGAGAGGATAGGAACCTACTCTGACCAGTCCCCTTTGCATGCTGCATAGAACATAGAAGAACCTCTACTTGGACAGATGTGACAGATGTGCTTGAATACAACACAATAGAACTAGGTGAGATCTCGATCATCTACCAAGGAGTTCTTAGATGATAAGGGTAAATCTCTGTAGAGGCCTACAAACTCCTAGACAGGTACTCTCCTAACATTTTAAAATCTTGAGTGTGGTTTTAATCATTGTCAGCTGATGCTAGATTTTGTCTGTGTTGAAATCAAATAGTGTAAGGGAGGGAGGAGAGGAAGGAGGAAGAGAAGAGGCAGTGTGAGGCCAAGGGAAGGTAATGGAATGAAGAGAAATAAGGGAGAAGGGAGGACCTGGCTCTTGATTCAAAATGTAGCAACTACCTAGCAAGGAAGTGTCCTTTGCACTTAGGTTTTGCACTGTGTCCTCTAGGAGGAAATATGTTCTGAATTTCCTTCATGAAAGTTCATTTTAGCAGATGAGCTGTTCCATGTCCTGCATAGATGCATATTCTCTGAACTGCCCTAGAGGAACCATGAACACCTGAACATCATCCCAGAGTGAAAGAAGCTGGAATCAAAAGAAGTGAAACCCACTCGTGGCATGCACAGATGCGCTTGCCTAGGTGGTTAGGAGCTAAAGCTGCCTCGAATGTGATAGATGAGGAAGGACTACAGAAATCGTTGTGCACTGAAACCCAATTGAATTTCTTTCTTAAAAACTGAGGCTCGCATGAGATGAACAACCGTTTATTTGCAAAACTCTAAATCTAATTTAAAAGGGAAAATTTACCATCTTTATATTATGTCTTACCTGTGAATCTGTAGCACAGGAAGTTCCTTATTTTCAGTGTGCCTATTGATGATATATGTATAAATGTGCAGATAGGTCCAGTCATGTGAAAAATGACAAACATAGAGTTTTAAATAGGCATTCAAATAGGTGAAAATTCTCAGCCTAAGATGATAAATGATAATTATGGATTAGAGATGGTATGTAGTTGATTTCCAACAGAAATGTTTGAACAGTGATATGTTATACTATATTTGAAAGCACCTTTCACCTAGTATGCCTTAAATGCCGATCTGTAAATATTTCCATATAGATACTAAATATTCGGTTTGAATTTCTGGATGGGTCATTTTCTCCCTTTAAATCCTTCCTATCTTTACTATACTTTGGGTGGCTTTATTGTCTTAGATCACTTTGTGCTGCTTTAATAGAATACTGATTACCTGAGAATGACCTATTTATACAATACAAAGTGACTTTTACCCACTGATTCTGAGGTTGTAAAGTCTAAGAATTCGGACCCACATCGGATAAGAGCCTTTTTACTGAGCCATAACATGTTGAAAAGAAATAAGTGAAAACTGCTATAGTTTGAATATTCAATGGCCCCCAGGACCCTGTGTTAAAGGATTAGTTCTCTATCCAGGGCATTGTTGAGAGGAGGTGAAGCTTTTAAGAGATAAAGCCTAATAGGAGGTCTGGGGTCATTAGTGGAATTCCCTAGAAGGGAATTCCCTAGACAGGTCTTGCCTGTCTCTGTTGGTGCACTTGACCATGAGGTAAATGAGCATCCTCCACTATGTACTCTCCATTCTCAGCAATAGAATGACTATCCTTCTTCCACTTCACCCCCCCACCTCCTCCCCCCGCCCCCGTTAAGATTTTTCAGTCTCTTTCTTTCTTTTTCTTTTCTTTCTTTCTTTTTTTTTTTGGTCGGTCATGGCCTGAACTCTGAGCCTGGGTGCTGTCCCTTGGATCTTCGGCTCAAGGCTAGCGCTCTACCACCTGAGCCACAACGCCACTTCTGGGTTTTTCTGCTTATGTGGTGCTGAGGAATCGAACCCAAGGCCTCATGCATGCGAGGCAAGCACTCTACCACTGAGCCACCTTCCCAGTCCCTCAGTCTCTTCCTTTCTAGTGACCCTAATTCTTGTGTCTTCCTTTTTTTCTAGCCCTGCTGAAAGTTCTGCTGTGGGGAAGAGTTCTGTGCTACTGCCTTTACCTTGTTACCTATCAGAATCAAGCAACACTGCACACAGTTTTCATTTCTTTATTAGTGTGTATTAATTGTGCAAAAGTGTTTTATTGTGATCTTTCCACACATGCATATATTGTACTTCCATCAAATTCACCTATTTATTATTATTACTTCCTTTTTTCACTTCCTTTTAAAAGTACTCATATCATATTCAAGTAACTTGAGTTAGAACAAAGAATTTCAGACATTTTATTTTTCTATACCTAGACCTTATATCTACAGGTTCTTCATCTATGGTTTCAAAGAACAGCTCAATGATTTTCACTTTTCATTTTTTCCTCAGGAAACGTCTATATTGAACATACATAGGTTGTTTTCTTGTTATCATGTATAAATTATATAGAACAACATATGTATTGTATTAGGTGTTATATGTCATCTAGAGATAAGACACACATGATAAAGCTTGTAGGGTTTAGGTAATGCCACACCACTTCATGTAAGGGAATTGAACATTATTAGTACATATCGTTATCTGTAGGAGATTCTAGAAACAGTCCCCCATGGATATTATTATGATGATCAGCTTTTGTTGTCAAGTTGGTCAGATTGAAGGATTCTTAGGAGATTATGAAGGCATATTACTGTGTGTGTATCATAAAGGGTCTGATCTAAGGGTTTAATACACAGATAGATTCAAATTTTGAATAGGCTACTTGGTAGGTTATAGAACTATGGGAGGTAAGGTCCTAGTTTGACAAATAAGGTCGCTGGAAGTGTGCATTTATGGGTAAATTGTCCTGGTTGCTTTCTTGTCTCCTGCTGCTTCCTGGCCATCATGAGGTTAGCATCCTCCTCTACCATATATTGCCAGTATCCCGGGTCTATAGCAATGGAGCTGGCCATTTATTGACACTTCTAAGACTGTGAGCCAAAATAAACCTTTAATCACCTCTTCAGAGGATAAATGACTTAGGGATACATACATACATACATACATACATACACACACATACACACACATACACTTTCGTTTTACAGAATATTTTCACAGTATATGGAATTCTAGATTGGCAGTTTTATTTTTGCTTAATTAAAGACATCATTTTAGTCTCGCCTTGATTTCATTGTTTATTGTTATTGTTGTTATATGCATTAATTTTGTACAAATTACTGAGATCCACTGTGATATTTCTGTGCATACATATGTTGTATACTGAGCATGCCCTTCTACCCTCTTTTCACCCTAGGACCACTTTCCCTAGGATCCTTCTTAATTCCCAGTAATGCCTCTCATACTTAAAGCCAGTATTAGATCTAGTTGTATCTTCTGTCTACTCCTCCATAGGTAAAGCATGCTTTATTCTCTAGGTATTAAGTACTTTGATTTTGATAGATTTTGCCTGCATTTTTATACTCTTTATTCTTGGGATTCTATTAGCTTTTAAAACTGTGAATTTACAGTCTTTATCAAATTGTCAGATTTTCCATTTATTATTACCTCAAATACTTTTATCTTCCTTCTTCTAATCCTTCAGAGTTGCCAAATACACAATATTAAGTCATTTGAACTCACCTTACAGCTTACTAATGTTCTCCTCAGTGTTTTCCTTTCTGTGTGTTTTATTCTGGACAGTTTTATCACATTTGTTTTTTTTCTTTATTGAGGAGTACATGTCCAACTTATTAATCTATAATATCTCTATCTTCTCACCTCAGACATAGTAGCTTTTATATTTCAAGTTTGGTTAAATTTCTAAACCATATTTCCATGTCCCTATTTAACATGGTTAACCTTTTTTCTGTTTTTGACCATATACAGTTATATGTAATACTATTTTTCTTAGTATACATTTAGTTATGGAATAGGGGTTTCACTTAGATATTTCCATACATGCATCTATGATTTCCCAGTGAATGCCCCATCATTCTCCCTTATCCCTTCCCCCTTCTAAAACAATTTCAACAGGTTTCAGTATTCTAATTTTGTACACACAAAGAAATA